TTTAAAAAAATTATCCAGGCACTCACTTTATTCCAGGTAAACTGCGAACACTTTCTGTGATCTCCACAGCATCTACATCAATTTTCTCGATATTTTCCAAGGGACCCCAATAATCCTTGCTCACGCCACGAAAATTTCGTTTCACTGTATAGAGTATACAGTAGTTAGAAAATTAAAATAAATGGCCAGATTTTGAGTGTGGAGTACATTAATAATTAGCTACAGCATTATGATCCTGCTGGGAGGGTCAAAGCCTAATTTTTAGAAACACAAGGACTCAAAAGACTGAAATCAAAGGCAAAATCGCTAAGAAGACATTTGCCAGCCATTTGCCAGAGGCTGTGTGTAATTCACTACTATACTTGCAGTCATGACAAGCTGAAATTTTTAGCCCAGTCTTGCACTCAGATAATAAACCAAGTAGACAAAGCTTGCAAGCCTTTGCCCACCACTCAACTCACACAACTCAACTTACATCACCCTTGAAGCATCAACCTTCGATTCTTTGCACAATAGCCAGAACCTCAGTAGATCACAAAACAGCATTGGCTGTACCCAAATTATTATTAGCCAGGACTTCAAGCGGATCGGCCTGAAGAGCTGATAGTATATTGTTCTCAAGAATCTCTAGCAAGTCCTGGTCAACCGCCATGCAATGCGTGCATTTGTTTACGTTTCTGTTACGTTGTGGGCCAGAGGCAGCAATTTTTGTGGCGTCGAAAATGGCGGCAACAATTGAGAAAAGTAAGTAAACAAAACATTCTCAATTTGCCAAATGTTGAGGGAAATTAGGAAGGCTACATCCTGCATTGGACAGAGGATTTTACTTTTACTCATCAACAATGCCAAGGGGAGTAAAATATTAAAGTAGGGAGCGTCAGGTTGCATTGCTACTTAAAAAGTTAGAAGCCACGTCAGTATTCATGTTGCCACAAATAACGGTGAATCGACATTATGAGTGGGTAGGTGGGATTTATGTGAACTTGTGGCAAATTGACAATTAACGTCCAAAGTCACTGTCAGTAAAGCTTTTGTATTATACATACAAAAGTCAAAATGGGACTGAATATATCAATTGACATTATCTGGAGGTGGGTGAAGTAATATAAGTCAATTCAACATTTATTTGTGGCAACATGAATATGGTGCCTTAATGTATCAATCAATTTGAAACTCCCCCCCCCCCCCCCCCCCGGGCATACCCCGGGAATTTGACTTCAAGTCTTCTCCAGGGAGTAGGGAATTTGACATTCTAGGTCTTCCATGTGGTGGGGCATTTGATAACGGGGTGGGGAATTTGAACTTGGAGAGATCCGAGGCTTGCTCATGTCGGTGCACAAAATTATCGGCCTGTTGAACATATTCCAATGCAAGAGTTCTCTCCGGCTCGACAGTCATCTGCACAGTCGCACTCGACAGGACAAAATTTTGCCCGTTTTCTTAAAATTTTGCCCGTTTTCGCATGCTTCCTGCATGCACAGAAAATACTTCGCATTGGCGGCAAATAGTTTTCTCAGATTTCGAGGGAAACAGCCTCAATTTTGTGAAAAACTGGCTCAAAGAAACGGGCATGGAAAATCTACGTGCTTCATTTGAAGGTAATATGTACTACATAATTGTGTTAAACTGTTAAATTTCCACAAGGTATCCAAACTTTTTACGTGAATTTCGCTATCTTGTCGAAAAACATTTCCGTATATTTCGTACTTTTTGTATTTACTGTTTTATAATTTTCATATGAAGGTGGGGCATTTGAAGACATTTTTTGCACAGGGGGTGGAGAATTCAGGGTTCGAGATTGGAATTTTTTACTAGTATCCATTATGGATACCAGCATTTCAAACTTGGTATCCAAATTCAAAAACCGGTATCCAAATATAAGAATATATGGTAGAATCATATGATATCGAATGTTCAAAACTTCGAAACACATACACACAAAAGCCATTAGGTATTCTTTACTTTTACTATTACTACAGAGAACATTGATAAAGTTACAAATTAAAATAAATATGCATTATTTCTGAATATAACCCTATCCATATATATATATAAACACAATAATATGCTTCAAGATCAAAACAGAGAAGAATGCGGAAGTGGAAATGTAGCCTGATAATGAAAACACCCGCCAATTTCAGGTGAATTTACGGGTGTTTCAGGCTCTCAGCAATTAGCTACCGTTAGTGAAATTTGAAGCAAAGTAAATATACTCTAGCGTTCGCTGCTCGAAGTTTACGAGCGTTTCAAAACTTATTTGTAAAATTATGCATATATTTGTGATTCCTGTTGATAAAGTTTATAAGTAATGTTCAAAAATTTATATTTAAGCAAGAATTTCCTGGTATCCAGTTAGGATACCAAGGTTTTTACATCTGGTATCCAAAATTGGAAACTGGTAGCATCAAGGATACTAGGATACCGCTAATCTCGAACCCTGGGAGAATTTGATCAGTCAAATTTCAAAAAGTTCAAATTCCCGGGGATGGTGAAGTTTCGAATTGATCGATACATAATGGACAGGGTACTAGCACACGGGTGTAATAATATATAGAAATACCAAGCTCATGGTTTTTCTATTATTAAAACTGGAGTATGTGTGGTATTTCAATTAATCTATAATTTTATTACTATTTAATCGTTAACAAAACCACACAAAACACAACTTCAACACCATCAGAAAAACTCATCAAAACAAACAAAAGCTTACCTCGAAGCCCATGTCTTAAAACGTGTTCAATAATCACAAAAAATTGCTGCAAAGGTAGACGATCTTCCCCAAGACTTCGGCCCAAATTTAAAGAGCTCTCGATCAGATTCTTTATACACAGTTTAGACAAGTTTAAAAGGTTTGCGCGCTCTACAGATGCATAAGCTAAGTTTCTAGGACCATTTAATGAAGTATTGCTTGCCGATCGCGACGCAACTAAATCAGAAATGTTTTCTGTTTCGTCCAAACTGGCTGCCATATTGGCAAGTTGCAACTTGTTGGAATTGTAAATATTGGAATGCTTATGAGAGGCATTCACCCCCTGAAAATATTTGAAATGGGTGGATATTCAGGGGGGGTGAATGCCTCTAATAAACGACGAAACGTGTCTCCTTCAAACTTTGGAGGAAATTTTCTAATTGAAAATATTCAAAGAATATTCAAAGCTTCAGTGAATTTAACGGATGTTATTTGCCCAAGAATATATTTTAGAAAATGCAGTCAAAGGCATTCAAAACTGCAAAACATTTCTGGGGAAAAACCATAGGAAAAACACCATATATTTTGCAATTACGTCATATTAAATTCGGAGTTTGGACACCATTTTAAAGGCCTTTAAATGAAAATTGCATAGATTATTTTTGAAAAAAGCAGTAATATTTACAGTTTGATTATATTCAAAAACCCTGACTATAATTCATAAAATCCAGCCAATTATACAGTCGATAATTTCGATAACTAAGTTCTTTACTTCTTTCTAAATTAATTGCAACACCCTCAGTGGAAACACCACGTACATTCTGTAAATTTAATGAATTTATGTGGTGTTTCCACAAACAAAACTATTTAATATATTATAGTCGATAAACTGTTATAACCAGTCGTGATCCAGCATACCACAGCTGTGTTCGACTGTTCGTAGAAATCTGCATTTGCTTTTTTTAGGAATTTTAGCTTTTTTCCAAAGAAAAAGTTGTTTGGCCTTTTTTGGTAGATTTCCCTCTGAGCATGCGCATGATGAGACTAGCCTTGAAAACGAAAGTGTAAATATTTACACGGTTGACTAGTTGAGGTGTTGTCGTTTTGAATCAAAATGGCTTTACCAGTAAATATGACTTTAAATCCTGACTAATTTCGCTCATACGATGGCTTGTTGCGGTGGCGGTTATCCGGAAGATCGTTTTCAAACTTCAGTCGATAAAAATTTCTTCTGTCCAATCTGTACGGATGTATTGAAAGACCCAGTACAATGCCACAACCAACACCTTTTCTGTAGAGCCTGTATAACAGAGCATCTTAAGAATTCCCAGACGTGCCCCGTTTGTATGGAAAAACTCACGGAAGAAGCGTTATCCAAGCCAGCAAGAATTGTGACAAACATTCTCGATGGTTTGATGGTGAATTGCGAGCACAAGGAACGAGGATGTGTTGAATTGGTCGAGCTTGGCCTTCTTGAAACTCACATTTCCGTGTGCGAGTATAAACCTGTAACGTGTCCTAACGAAAGATGCGAGGCTGTTGTAAACATGGCAGATTTAGAGGAACACACGAGCGAGGTTTGTGAATACAGACAAGTATTTTGTGAAGAATGTGACGAGAACATGTCGCTGAAGAAATATGAAAAACATGGCTGTTTTATAAGCAAAGATGTTCAGGCAATGAAGGTTGTATTGTTCCAAATGCAACATCAGGTCAAAACAGTGCAAGATCAAGTCAAAGAAATGTCTAACAGGCAGAACGAAATGTTCGAAGCAATCCAAAATCTTACAACCGCTGTTAGTAAATTGAGCACAACAAGCGGCAGAGCTGAGTCCACATGTGATACAAAACCACAAGGGAACATTGTTGTCATTGGTGGACAAAATGGTGTCATTAATTGCCTCAATTCTGTTGAAGTGTACTCCCTGGCCAATCAAACATGGAGTAAATTAGCACCAATGCAACAAAAGAGAGCAGCTGCAACTGCACATTTTTACAATGGCCAAGTCATGGTTACCGGAGGATTTTATGATATGGCCATTGCAACTAAGAGTATAGAATACGTCCGAATCTGTGAAGAATTACAAAGCACAGTTCGACCAGAGCCAACCAATACAGCTTACCAAGATGAATTCTCTTCACTCTTATACCAACTGCCATTTGAAGGCTATGGTCACAAAACAGCCATCATAAATGATCAAGTGTGGCTTGTTGGAGGCTATGGCATTAATAATAATCAAGGACAATCCTCAAACGCCATTTACACGAAGCCCATTCGCTCCACTGGTACCTTCGTGGTAAAGCGTCGACTGCCAAAACCACTTTCATTCCACGGTTTGGAAATAATTAATGGCAATGAACTTTTAATCATTGGAGGATCAACAGCTGGTTTCACACATTATGCTGTTAACACAGTTTGGTCGTACAATACAGTCACCAATACACTCAGAGAATTACATCCACTGCCATTCCCGATGGTTGATATGGCAACTGTTAAACATGGTGAAGATGTTATCATTATTGGAGGACAAAACAAGGAGCGTGGATATTTGAACACAGTTTTCAAGTACAACCATAAGAAGCGTGTATGTAAGCAATTACCAGGAATGAAATACAAGAGAGGAGAATGTGCCGCTGTCATTTCTGGAAACAGAGTGTTTGTGATGGGCGGATACAACGAAGAGCAAGGATACTTAAGTTCTGTTGAGTGCTTTGATCTTCAGCATCAAGTTTGGCATGAACTTCCACCCATGAGTGAAGCTAAATTTAAAATAGCTGCAGTTCTAGTGCCTTAAGACTATTAAGGGACTGTCTTTGCCACCCTTATAAAGATAGGGAGTGCACTATAAAAATGTCGTATTTTGTACCATATATAAATTATCAAATAAACACAATTTTTTTCCAAAAAAAAGGACATTTATTATATCCAGATAAGTCAGATAAGAGGCTTCCATTACAAAGGGGGCATTGATTCCTTCATAGGCAATTTGCTAGATAACTGTCATGTCAGCACTTTATATCACCCCCTTCACACATTGAACATTATGCCAAAATTATATGCCAGAATAAGACGTACATTTTACAGATGTTTATAAATTTGCCAAAATGGTGGCAAGGGGGGTGGGGAGGGAGTTCTCAACATCCCTACTACTTATGTACCATAATTTATATTATACAACATTACAAAATCGATCAGAAATCTCAGATTACATCTAAACACCAAAAATTGAGCAAAATCTGCTCAGACTTTGACAGTTTCATTGTGTTTTAAAATAGATCCTGCCATAAGCACTGACTAGGCACATGGTGTCAGCATTTTGATGACGAACCATAGTGTGATAGCGGTCACACTTTTTGGACAAGTTGACCTTCTGTTTGTCTTTATTCTGTGGCCATGCTCTTAGCAAGTGCATATCCTAAAGATAGGTATCCTCCCCCCTGGAATATTAAATGTCAGTTTGTTTTCAGGGGGGTGACAGCCTCTCGTTAGGGCCTTGCTAAGAACATGGGGACTGGAAAAACCCTTATGCTGAAATTAAGAAGTGAGACCTCTGTATGCTATTTACTCTGTGATCAGGCTTTAATAAATCATAAAACTTGGGGGGGGGGGGAGGGGCATGAATATTCAATTGAACTGAACAGGCAGTGAACTGTGTGTATATCTGGAGCGAGAGCTTGAGTCCAAAAAGTGAAGCTAGTCACCAGGTCACATTACTTGATTGAGTTGAACTATCAAGGAAAGTTTTCACATTATAAAACAAAGTTAACAAAATTACTGCACATTAATTGAATTTTAATGATTTGTTACAATATAGAGTACTATATTCTATAATCACATAAACAGACAACTTACATGCAAAAACGACATAGCTGTGACTGGGGAAAGGAACAGGACTTGCGTCCCAATTGACACCTGACCCCTTATATAGACTTTACTGTTTATTGCCCTCCAACCCCATTGCCCATATTGGCCTCCCTTCGATGTGTTCGTGGCAATGCCAATAGGGTTATAACACGTTTGGTGCAACGAATACTGTATGTTACTTTCTCTTGATCAATAACCTGTCTAAACCTTAAACCCACGATCGCAGTTTTAGATCACCCCTGATGAAGACACTAGACTGGAGTGTCGAAACATTGGGTCTTGATTACAATTCGACTGGGCTTTGTAATCATTTATTTAAACCAGAGTAGCGAGCGAAACATGATCAAGATTCTGTTGGCATCTCACTTGATTGAATACAAGTTGAAGGATATTGTAGATGGAAACTGATTCCTGCCAGGGTCCTAATGTAGCATTTTTCGCATCAGTTCCTGGTTAAGATCTAAAAGCTCAATTCCACTCAGAAAAGTTTTCTGCAGAAAGAAGGTTTTGTAAAATGTGATTGGCCAACACAAATTTTCCGGTGGAAAAAAATTTTTAAGTCGAAAATTTTCAACTTTTAACAATAACATTTTCGGAAAATTTTCTGTCCGATGAAATTTTTTTAGAGTGGAAATGACCCTTAATGTATATAAATTTCCACTGGATAATTTCCATCTTCAATACACTTCAACTATTATTCAATCGAGTGAGATGCCAACAAAATCCTGACTGATAACCTTAATCCTATTGTATACACGTGACACGAGGAAACGGTCCAGTGACACATAGAAACAAGGTCACAAGGGAAAGAGTACAACAAACAGCACAAGCAATATGTAAATTAAAATACACAAATTTACATATATAACTATAATATGAATTAATGTTAACATTAAGGTTAATTACAGCCAGGAGGGCAGTATAATGACAACTTTGATTCGTTAGCTTATCGTATTTTTATGACTATTAAACTATTTCACAAACTAACTTTCACGAATTTCAAAATTAAAAATGCAAATTTTTTCGCAGTTTGAACAAAGAAACTAAAACAAACTTGCTTTAAGCACAATATGGCATGGAGGACTGCCGCCGTCGCTGATGCTTCTGACGCGTTGCTCTCACGCGAGGCAAGGCATTTTACCACTAAATGACTGTTAGCGAGGACAATATTCCCACCTGTATTCCACCTGCACAACCCTGTGATTTAAGCGTTGTCACAGATACAAAATGGCTTTAAATATGGCTTTAAATCCTGACTGATTTCGCTCGTATGAGATGGCTTGTTGTGGTGGCGGTCATCCGGAAGATCGTTTTCAAACTTCAGTCGATAAGAATTTCTTCTGTCCAATCTGTACGGATGTATTGAAAGACCCAGTACAATGCCACAACCAACACCTTTTCTGTAGAGCCTGTATAACAGAGCATCTGAAGAATTCCCAGACGTGCCCCGTTTGTATGCAAGAACTCACGGAAGAAGCGTTATCCAAGCCACGACCAGTTGCGACAACTGACAAGGAACGAGGATGTGTTGAATTGGTCGAGCTTGGCCTTCTTGAAACTCACATTTCCGTGTGCGAGTATAAACCTGTAACGTGTCCTAACGAAAGATGCGAGGCTGTTGTAAACAAGGCAGATTTAGAGGAACACACGAGCGAGGATTACGAATGCAGACAAGTATTTTGTGAAGAATGTGACGAGAACATGTCGCTGAAGAAATATGGAAAACATGGCTGTTTTATAAGCAAAGATGTTCAGGCAATCAAGGTTGTATTGTTTCAAATGCAAGATCAAATCAAAGAAGTGCAAGATCAAGTCAAAGAAATGTCTAACAAGCAGAACGAAATGTTCGAAGCAATCCAAAATCTTACAACCGCTGTTAGTAAATTGAGCAACACAAAACCACAAGGGAACATTGTTGTCATTGGTGGACAAAATGATGCCATGCTCAATTCTGTTGAAAAGTACTCTCTGGCCAATCAAACATGGAGTAAATTAGCACCAATGCAACAACAGAGAGCATCTGCAACTGCACATTTGTACAATGGCCGAGTCATGGTTACTGGGGGATATTGTGATTTGAATGAAAAAACTGGGAGTATAGAATATGTGCAAATCCATAAAGAAACGAGTAATGACATATCAGAGTGTGAGAATTTACCCCTTGAACATAGCAATGGAAGAAGACTAGAGCCAATAAATAGAGCTCACCTGGATGAATTTTCTGTACTTCCATCCCAATTGCCCTTTGCATGCTCTGGTCACAAAACAACCATCCTAAATGATCATCTATGGATTGTTGGAGGCAATGGCATGAATCAACGGCGATACTCAAATGCTATTCACATGATGTCTGTTCATTCAATTCATACTGTCATAATCAAGTGTCGAATGCCAAAACCACTTTCGTACCATGGTTTAGAAGTAGTTGGCAATGAACTCTTAATCATTGGAGGAACAACAACTGGTATGGCAGATGGTATTGTTGGCACTGTTTTGTCATACCATACCGCCACCAATGCACTCAGAGAAGTACACCCACTTCCATTTCCGATGGCTGATATGGCAACTGTTAAACATGGTGAAGATGTTATCATTATTGGTGGAATCAACAAAGATCATGAATATTTGAACACGATTTTCAAGTACAACCACAAGAAGCGTGTATGCAAGCAATTACGAGGAATGAAACACAAAAGAGCAGAATGTGCTGCTGTTCTTTCTGGAAATAAAGTGTTTGTGATGGGCGGAAACAATTCGGAGCAAGGATGCTTAAGTTCTGTTGAGTGTTTTGATCTTGACCTTCATGTTTGGTATGAACTTCCATCCATGAGTGAAGCGAAGTATAAACTGACTGCAGTTTTAGTGCCTTGAGACCATTGCCTTTGTCACCCTTATAAAGCTGACTATAACAATGTCATATTTTGTACCATATATAAATTATCTAATAAACACCCTGGACATTTATTAAATATTCATACTTTACAGTTGGGATATTTATTATTCAGATAAGAGACTTCCATTACAGAAGGGGCATTGATTTCTTCACAGGCAATTATTACGAAAGTCACCGAACTGTGGAATCGCATCAAAAATTCGTATATCGACCACTCCCACAAACGTCTATGACCACACCTACATATTTTTGCATGTTTACAATTCTAATTTTAAACAGCCAATGGACGTTTAATTGTAATTATTACCAAGAACCGGATTGGCTGTTCAAAATTAGAATTGTAAACATGCAAACCTATGTAGGTGCGGTCGTAGACGTTTGTGGGAGTGGCCAATATACAAATTTTTTATGCGATTCCACAGTTTGGTGACTTTTGTAATAGCTAGATATCCAACTGTCATGTCAGCGCTTTATATTACCCTTCTACCATTGAATATTATGCCCAAATTATATGCCAGAAGCAGACATACATTATTTTACAGATTTTCCTAAATTTGCCAAAATGGTGGCAAAGCTGGGCGGGGGAGGGTGATCACAACATCCCTACTAGGCTTATGTACCGAAATACCAATCTAAATACCAAAAATTGAGCAAAATCTGCTCATACTTCAACAGTTTCATTGTGTTTTAAAATAGATCCTGCCAATTATTTATTATGTAACCCGGCATAATTCGTAATCAAAATGCTGCCGCCATAGTCCTAGCCAGTTGCCTTATGAAAGGCATTTAACCCCCTGATAATATTCAAAATGGCGGACATCCACAGGGTGAATGCCCCTCATAAGCCCACTGGCTAGGCACATATGCATGGTGTCAGCGTTTGATGACGAATCATAGAGTGGCAGCGGTCACCTGTGAGTCGACCTTCTGTGTGTCTTTATTTTGTGCAAGTGTCCTAAAGAGACGCATTCACCGCCCGAACTTTAGGGCACTCACTAAGAACATGGCGGACTGGAAAATCCCTTATGCCAGTGAAATTAATAAAAAGTGAGACCTCTGTATGGTATTTACTCTGTGATCAGCAGGTTCGTAGCAAAGAGAATAAAGAAGAGGG